TTCCTAGAGGTCGGGGCAAAAAAAGAAAATCTTCTATCACATGACCTTTCTTTTTTTTTTTCTTTATGTTTTAATAGAAGCATTTTCCTTGTCGAGTGCTGTTGCCTATGAACACAACACTGAACTTGAGTTTCCTAGAGGTCGGGGCAAAAAAAGAAAATCTTCTATCACATGACCTTTCTTTTTTTTTTTTCTTTATGTTTTAATAGAAGCATTTTCCTTGTCCTGAACCCTGAGAGTCATTGGGTATTTGTAGACTTTATCAATTTTTTAAAAATCTTCTCATAACTTAATTTTTATTTTTTTTTAAGTGCAAAAATTGAGCGATGGCATTCCCTCATAATTAAAAAAATATTAAACCAGATATGAAACTTTTCTAGCTAATATCTTTGTATACATAGATTATTCGTATCCTTGGGACCGTGATCCAGTTTTCGTCTACAAATTTAAATCTCATCTTCCCTGTCCATGTCCATGTGGGAAATTTAAGAGGCTTTCTTTACATCCTTACGCAAAGAGTTTTATATAGTTCTAGGAGAATTTATGCCTTCAGGCCCCTCCTCAGATGATACAAAGAAGCTACCTGGTGGGAGGTTTTCTGGGGAGCCTGCTGCACGAATATATGGACCTTGTCACGTCCCACTGTAAAAGCTGTTGACAATAAGCAGTGGTTTTACATGTAGAAAACGCTCAAAACGAATGCTTCAGAGAAATCTTTTATGGGCCAAATGTTCTTCCTTACCTTCTCTAAGCAGTGCCAACACAGTTATAGTCTTGTTTGATTCTTCATTTTACTTACTTACAAGCTTATTTCTTCCATGCGTTCGTTTTCACTGACTACATTGTAATTTCTTACAATGACATAGGAAAAATAATGAATGAGGGTTAAAATAAGATGCCTTGGCAACCTTGGCATATCTATTATACTTCCATAACCGGGACGATATTGAAAGTATCCATAGAGTAGTTGGCACCTGGTAGGTACGCCCTACTAGAAAAATCTTGTGAAAATACTTTTTCAACTCCCCCTTTTTAATTGTGATTTTTTGTTGTTGTTGTATTTTGTAATACAAAATGCAAGGGAACACTTTGCACAAGTACCCCATGATATCGGTCAGCGCCGTCAGTCCTGGACCACAGCAGAGCTAAATGTAATGTTGCTTTTGATGACCGCAGGCTGAGGCCCCAGCTTCGGGACTGCGTACCCCGCTTTCAGAATCTTCCTTTCCTCATGACCTCTCTGCCACTCTTCCTGGCTCAGGACAAGTAGGAGACACCAAGCTGACGTGTCTGTCATCTCTGGGTTTTCCTCTACGGTCATGCCAGGGCAGTGGGACACTGGAGTCCACGTCGCTGTCTCCCCAGAATGCCCCTTGGCCACGATCCTCATACGATGCACGTGGCCGGGCCGCCCACATTTCATACGGATTCATTCCCCTGTCCTGGGAAGGACAGTCTCCTCACTGTTTAGAGAGTCTGTCCGCAGTTCCAGGCCTTCTGAGGATCCCGTGCCCGAGGGCAGAAGCTGCACAGCGTGCTCTTCTAGTCTCATCCCCTCCCTTGCCTGCCTTCCTTGTCTGCGGGATTGTCACGATCTTGCAGCTGTTTACTTTTTATGAAAGTCTTTGTATTACTACGTGAAATATCACACCTTGCTTTCACTGTTCATAACTGACTTGTGTCTTTCCAATGGAAACCATTCTTTCTGGTTAGAAGAATGAGTGTGGGTATGGCTGGGGGTGTGGGCTGAGGGAGAGAGAGACTATGAATGAATCAACATAGAAATAGTCAAAGGTTCTGATCCTTTGGGAGAAGGAGAAGAATAACAAAACCCTGATGTACTATATTTTATCCGTTATGTCTGCTGAGAAATGAGGGTCAGGACCCAGAAACTTTGCTCTATCTCTCCCTGTTTGTTTCAGCTCAGGTGGGGTGGGCTTCTCCTTTGATGGGTCATTTCCTTTTCTCCTTTCACATTCCAAGCTGCATTAAGATGACAAATTTCACTTACAGGCTCCAGCACAGACATGAAAACCTGAGCTATTGAGCTAACAAGAGCGAGTGCAGAGGAGTCAGTCTGTTTACTGTGGGGAGGAAGGGAGTATTTGAAGGGCACAGAAGATTCCGAGAGCCCAGCTCTGCGTCCGAGCTCGCACGGGATGGCCCAGGTGCTGCTCCCAGCCAGACCGTGCCCTGAAGCCTCACCACAAGTCTCTAGGGTGGAAGAGAAATGTTAAATTAATTAAGAAACTCCTTTAAAGCCCATACACATATCCCAGAATGCACTGCGAGCAGATGCGACTTTATCTGGATATAACCTTACAGTGAGCTTTGCAGAGACATTCAGGGTGAAATAAGTAGAATAAAGGTCTTGTGTTCTTTTCAGTCTGTGAACTGTGCAAAAAAAATACTGCTCTTTTCCTAGCCCTGCGTTTAGTAAGGGGGAAAAAAATCTTGGACAGCAAAGAACAAGTCTGTCACATCAAACACGAGTGCGTTGAGTACTAAAATGTTCAAAGTCCAACTGAGATAGATAAAGCCTTTGATGGGAAGTGGATATTTCCCAGGGACATTACAAGCAATAATCCAGATGTTACGGTGTAATGCAGCGAGTGTCCACGGACAGATTGGGAGCCCCAGCCAAGCCGCGCCTGGTGTAGGCCTGAGCCTTGCCCTCCCATGCTGTTCCGCCATATGGAACCTATCTCTAGGCCCCCTTAATAACCAGCTTTGGATTCCATTTTCACAGAGCTCATAGAGCTAAGTGGGGCTGTTTTATGGACAAGTTAGATAGAAGCCTTTCCAAGATAAACATGCGATTTGAAATTAGGACATACCAAGCCGCAAAATTATTTTAGGGCATATTTCATGGAAGCACTGCCATTTTTCTTAGGCACTTGCCAGACTGTAGGATGCCCTTTGATCCCTTGTGGACATTACTCCTTCTTTATAAAAAGGATTTTGAAATAGTTTCAGTGTTTAGGGAGGAATATATCTGTCGGAACTTTGAAGCATGGCCATGGGACAGGTCATGCATTAGCTTGTTGGTTGGCAAGTCAAACTTTAAGAAGAAAAAAACAAAAAAGGAAGTTGCAGCAGGACATATGAATCAAAATCTCATTTTCTTTTAAAAGATAGAAGTTTTCAGCCCGTGTGCTTAATAAGCTATAAAATGTATTAAGTGTGTCTACATTTATATGTATGCATTTTGATGTGTAAATACATATGCACATATGTATTTATATGTGTGTCCGTCTATAATGTGATGGTGTGTGTTGTTCTGAAATACAAAATTACTTAACATTAACTACTTCATAAGCTTTCATTATGGAATAGATCAGATCCACAACCCAACTGTAAATAGAAGTTGAGAAAGAATTTTTCACCTTCTACACAGGAGAGGGTTATTTTTTTCTCTTTAAAATTAAATTTTTTCTCATCCGCCCTCCCATCTCTGTGTCAGCTCACCCCAAACGTGTGTGTGTGCGCGCGTGCGTGTGTGTGTGCGTGCAGTTTGGGAGTAAAGATTTCTTTAAATGCATTGTGTTTAAGGTAGTTATGAAATGGTCAGCCAAACGCTTGGTGTGGCATTGCTGCATCGTTTACCCAGAGAGGCAGAGTGACGTGCATTGGATGACATAAGCTGGTATGTAATTAATATGGTACTGACGTACCATTTCATGTGATGAATTGTGACTAACTGGTGTCCAAGCAAATTGGTGTCTAAACGATCTCAAAGATATATTGAGCAGGTGACAGGAATGAATATATAGTGTTGGAAATTCATTGCTTTACTGTGATGCTCGGTGCCATTTACATTCTTCAGTCCATTTATTTCTCCTTCCAATAAAGCAGTCTATGCTTGTGCCATTTCACTTATTGAATGGAGAACGTAAATGAACTCCTCCAACTAAATGCAGCATGTGTGGCTCGTATTGGGATCCTCAGTCAAACAAACTAACCATAAAAAGATATTGTTGAGACTGTCAGGGAGATGTGAACATGTGCTGGGTATTTAACGATATTAGGGAATTATGACGACTTCTGTTGAATATGATCATGGCATGGCACTTACATAGAAACAAATATGGATTTTGCTTTTAGATATTTCAACTAGGAAAAAAAAAAACCAGCTGAAGGATAGATGAAATAAGATTGGCCGAATGTTGAATCTGGTGAACGAGCACATGGAGATTTGTTACCCGATTCTCTCTATCTTTGTGTGTTTGAAATTTACAAGTGGAAGTGAAAAATAAAGTCTGCTCGTCCTCTTTATAATTTAACAATAGGGGATGTTTGCCTTTCTTTTTGTATTCTGTTTAAGGGGTGTGTGAGTGGACATGAGTTATATAATTTAGAAAAGGAAAAAATAAGTTAACAGCTACTGAGCCCCTGCTGGGTTCCAGGAACTGTGCTGTGCACTTTATAACACCCTTTCCACCCCCGAGGTCCGCAGAGCTCCTCTGGCTGGCCGGCTGATCTCAGGCAGGCTCTTTCTGGAGCTGTGGACCTCACAGTCGTGTGAGCTTTTTAGTAGTAGCCCGAGGAATAAAGAGAAGTGGGGACAGATGCGAGCGTGGAGGATACATTCAAAACCATTCTTTCTAAATGCCCAGAGGTATTTCGTCTCCCTGCAAAGCAGTGCTTTGTTCCTATAGCTCTATTTCCCAGAATGCCTTTCTTCCCTTCCTACCATTAAAATAGCCAAAGGCCCAGTCGAAGTGTTTCTAGGAGAGCTCTGGGGGGGAGTACAGGCCAGCGCCAAATGCAAATGGTGCTCACGTTCATCCTTCCCTATATTGCTACACATTCAGCTCTTGAGAAGGAAATCGCATAAACTGTGATTGCAGGTTTTCACAACCAATGAAGAATGATAACACTGTCGCTAGGCAGGGAGTGCTCTTCATAATCAAATATTGAAAGCTGGAATGCCTGTGATTACCAAGGTCGCACTCCAGAATTATCAGCAAGTTGATCTGTCATCTTTATTTTTTGCCTAGTCCTCTTTGATACGCCACCTACGACTCTCAGACTCCTTGAAAAAGAACCAACTCTGGAACGGGATTATAAGCATAACTTTGTTGGAAGGAAAGAATGTCTCAGGAGGAAACATGACAGAGATGTTTGTCCAGTTAAAACTGGGAGATCAGAGGTATAAAAGTAAGGTAAGTTCTGTCAATTTAAGGAAGACAGTATCCTTAAAAGTAAATTTAAAAAAAAGAGAAAAAATATTTCCCACTCTAAATTTCACAAGACTAGAAGTAATTTATTTTAACCCTCTTACTATAATGGGATTATCCCAGAAAACAAAATAATTGTACAGATGCAGTCAATTAATATGGGTATTTGATTGTTTAGTGTACTTTAATGCAGGAACTAGAGCTAGAGAAAGCTTATTAAGTAACAGATTTGAATGCATGATTTATTTCCATTTCGAAAATAAGTAAGCAAACTTTGTTTTGTAAAATGCGGGAAAGGATAACTAAATGTTTTCTAAATCCAACAAAAATAAAAGTGTTATATATGTAATATTTGGATTGCAATATTTAAGATAACTAAAAATATTTTCAAAATTATATAGTTTGCTTTTTCTTATTTGTTAGTATTTACACAAAAAATAGACTTCTAGTGTTCCTGTTTTTTTGCTATGATAAAAAAAAAAAGCTAAAGTATTGAAAGTGATTTGTTTTGAAGAAAAGTAATAGCATTTTTAGCTGTCTTTAAAAATCAGTCATCTTATTCCGCCGATCCAAATTCCATTTATTTTTTAATCTTAGTAATTTGGTGTGGTTTTTATTTCAAAAACCATAGTCTCCAAACCATGGTAATTAATTAGTTTTACATAACTGTCAGACAGGAGTATTTCCCATGTTTTATGGATTGAGGGAACGAGGGTACTTGAAAGTGAAGTCACTTGCCAAAAGCCACATAATAAAAAAACATCAGCGGAAGATTTTGAAAATAGACCCAAGAATAGTTGCAGTTCGGGCTTTCCCGTGTAGAAGACACAACAGATGCAGACAAGTTGGAAGATGATTTAGGGAGCGAAGAGGCTGTCTCTGCCGTACAGTTTTTAGCGCAACATCAAATACGAACTGTCTTTTACTCTAACACAAGGACTAGAGAATTGAAGCTCACACTGACAAACCGTTTATAAAGGATGTGAAACACTGAGGGTGAGTTACGGCAGAAATATGAGGCAGATAATTATTTTAACCAGCTAGTTTCGGGCCATACCTCACAGAGAGTGAGCTCAGGGTTACCACAACCCTCCACTAAGATTCATTTAGCCAGCCGGGGTCAAGCTAAGGATTTATAGAAAAATTATTCACCGCCAGGCACATTTAGCCCTCTGGACTAAGGAGAAGTGTAGAATTAGTCCAGTGTCTGCTACATTCCCCCTTGGGGATATTGCATTTAATTTGTGGTCTAATAGTTTCTTTTTCCTTCATGGTTTCTAAATTCTGTGATCTGATATATTAAGCCCAATGTGAAAAACAGCTTAAATGATGTTACATGATGTTGGCTGCAGCTGAGGTCCGACTTGTCCCTTTTTATTCATGCAGTAATGGCTGGCGCTAAGATTTAATAGTTGATGCTGTGCCCTTAGAGCCTGATACTCAGTGGCCAGCATTTCTGCTCGCTTGTTATTCACCATTTAAATCTCTGTGTAAATGAAACAAAAATGAAAATCCTGACAGTGAACCAAACACATAAGCAGTTTGGAATCACTCTCGGAGAACACAAAACCACTTGTGGAGTTTTCAGACCATCTCGTTAATTTTTAAATTTGGCTGCAGTGGAATTTCCTAGTCTTTCTCTCCCTCTAGAGACTGGACCCAGTAAACTCGGGTTTAAAAACAAGCAGCAATGTATAAGTTATGGGTTTCTTGTGTAATGCATCCGACAGATGTTAAGACCCCAAACTATTAATTTATATAGTTCTTAAGCCAGTGCTGAATGAATGTGCCAATAAAAATGTCACTTGCATTTGATTAACCAATTAATAGTATTTTCTGTGATAGGACAACTGTAAAATATCTACTGAGATTTGTCATATATATTATATGTGTATCTGTGTATCTGTAACTTATGGTTTCTTTTTTTAACTTGGTGGATAAATGGTTGAATCTGGGGGTCGGCTAAAAGAGTCGTGATGTTTTGCCCCAAACTTGGAAGTCCCTTTTTTTCCCAAAAAAGGAAAGTTTAACATTGTAAGGGACAGACAGGCACGTCATCACTCTCTGCCGCAGTTTAGAAATGAAATTAATGTGTAGCTGCTGTAGCGACGAATGGCATTGAAAGAAAATAAATATTATAACCGCATGTTTTCTAGACACTGTGTAAGAGTGCAAATCCGCAGTGGCGGGAAGAGTTTGACTTTCACTACTTCTCTGACAGGATGGGCATCTTGGACATTGAAGTGTGGGGAAAGGACAGCAAAAAGCACGAGGAGCGTCTGGGCACGTGAGTCCACTCTGCTTTCTACACGCTGGGAGCCGGGTCGTGCGACTCGTTTCTGCGGGAGGCTGGTCTTTATCTGTGGGGCTTAGATTAAAACCTCATGTTTTCACCCCAAGGAGCTAGAAGTAAGCTGGACCTGAACCTAGGGAAAATATATGCTTTTTAATTGGTAAATGTCATTTAGTATTGATTGAAACAAGATAATTGTACGTGTTTATATACATTTCCAAAAGACCTTGTAATTTTGGTTTTGCTGCTTAGCGAACTACTGTATAATTTAGTAACAATACGAAGCTAGGTGTCCCGAAATAATGGAAAAATTTCCAACGTCGTTGATGAACTTTGTGGCAAACCATAATGAAACCTATTGAGGCCGGGTCTATTTTTCTTTCATTGCTTTTACTTTGGACTCTCTCAACGTAATCGATTCGTATATCACGGACAGTGCTACGAGTATTACAGCTTCCTTCTAGGGTTGTAGTAAGAAAACCGTTAGATGAGATTGTGCCTGCACCGTGGCTGGCTCACAGGGAGCACGAAGGAAGTGCCGGTGGGAGCAGACATCATCTCTGACCTGAACAGCCTGCCAGTCAGCAGCCTCATTCTCATTTTAGAGATGAGCAAATGGAGCGCGGGAGGTTTGCAGACGGCTGCAGAGCGGCGGGATTCCGTGTTTCCAAGCTCGGAGTTCCTTGCACCAGGTCTCGGCCTTTCATTCCTCCCATATACGGTTTGTCCACAGATCTTAAATTTAGAACAGAAGCGTTTAAAGGGCTTCCAACAATTGCTCGTCATTTTTCTCAAACCAAGTTCTCTGGAAGCCCGAATTCAGGGAGATGCCTCCGATCACCCCTTGGAGAATGTGGGGTCTCCTGAAACTCCCCTGGGGCCAGAGCATCATCTCAGCTTTTACCCATTAGGGCTCCATGTGAAGGGAGAGTTTTATTGCTGAAAACTACAGATCGAAAAAAACTCCTTTTTTATAGATGAGGAAATGCAGAGGCCTAGAAAAGTGATATATTTTTTTTAATGAACATAGAATTTCGAGGCTGAAGTGGGATGAGCCCCAAATAACCCAGGATCTCATGCAGAGCCTTTTCTATGTGAAATACTTAGCACGGTGTCTGCTTCACGCCGCGTTAGCTCTTCCTGCTGGCGTCACCCCTCAGTGGCTCATCCTGAGAGAGAGAGATGCGTGGGGAGTTTGGAATTCACGGGCCATCCCTCTCATGCTTCTTCACAGAGGCGCCTGTTGCATGGAACTGTCTGCCATATTGCGGAATGTTCCCTACATTTGGCTGTCACCAACCTGACCCTGGTAACTTTCCCCAATTATTGTGTGGAAGATACACACACCCAAAGAAACACAGCACATCCACACTCCATCACGCATGTGCAGACACCCCCTAGGAGAGCAGCTCTGACACCAGTGGACACCTCGGCACTTCGTCCTCCACGTGTCATAGCCCTGGTCGCATTGCTTTGCAGGGAGCAGTCGTGGCTTCATCGGCTGTCTGCCAGGCCAGCTTTCTGCTTTCCGGTAGCAAACGAGATCATGTGACACTCCAGCTCATGCGAGAGGTCTGACTGTGGCCCAGCATTTCACAAATATTACCTGTCAGATTTCTAGTTTGGTCTCATCTCTGCCTTCTCCATGTACACAGGGTAACTGAGACACCTCAGACGCTTCTCAGTACTCCTGACCCTTGTCACCGCTGTGGCAGAGCAGTGCCCTGCCAACACCCACTGGTAGGAGGATGAGAAACTCTGTGCTAGCACATGGAGCAAGGACAAGTTATGTAAACGTGCGAACGCAGAGAACTCCGTGTCCCGAGGCGTTATCTGAATGGGGGAGTTTGGACCTCCAGTGATGAATGGCCAACGTTTTATTTTAGTTGGTACAAAGAATAATGCCCTCTTCATTTCACATGTCATCGTGCTGTCATGTTTCTTTCTCATAATAGGAAGTGCTCTTCCCAATGAGTGTTAAGTCTCTGCACAGACACAAAAACTAATTTAAGATGTCCCTTCCATTCCATGTTTTGTCATTTGGGTATTCATTTATTATTTTACCTATTTCCTGTTTGTAACTGAGAAGTATGCCTGCCCTCGTATCTATTCTGTCCTTCCTCTTCATGGATTTTAAAGGACTTTTTTTGGGGGTGGGGTGGGGGGTGGGGAGTGGGTATCCTTTTCCTTTTTCCTCTCCTGAGGTACAAAAAGTAACAAAAGCATCTCTCGGGAGCTGGTTACACAGCCGTACTCGGCACCAAACTTCCAGGTGGGGTGAGACCCACCCTAATATATTTACTGCTTCTCAGAGTGAAAGGAGAGATTGTGGTGGCATATACATATTGCAGACCAGTTCCTTACTATTTCTTCTTCTTTTAAATTTTTTTTCCTCATTATATTTTTTTATTTTCGTTGTTATAATTCTAAGGCTCGGTTGTTTTATCTCCCAACTGTCGGAAATGCCTTTTCGTATTGGGATTACTTTTGACCGTGTGAACGAGTTATACCCGGCTCCTAAGTCCTGTCTCATATTTTCTTTCCGCGTAACGCCAATGCTAAGAATTTAAAACTCTCCATGGCCTCTAAGGAAACTCTCGTCAGTGACACTTCCCCTCGTAGGCGGTTTCACACGAAGGAAGGAACAGCAGCCTCTGAGCTGGACGTCCTGGGCTTGCTGGTAACCACATGGCATGTGAGCCGTGTGACCTTGGGCAATGAACTCCTGGTGGAATCTGGTTCCCTGCCTGTGCGATGGGGTCTCTGGCCAACCGGCAGAGTCACCGTGACTATCAGCAACAATGTCTGTTTGATACCTACGCATTTCTGAGCACTCCACTGGTAGATTTCATTATTACTATGAATTGTGAAATTTTTCCATATGGTTACCTTAGATCCTCACGACATTTGCAACTGAAATCATGCCATTTAAGTACATGAAATATGACTAGTAAAATTTAGCATTTTTTTCAAAACGATATAGACATTTTAAATATTTTTTAAAAGAAGAGGCTAGTGAATTTCTTTGAAGACATGGTGGGAAGGATGTTCGCTGACTGAAGGACCAAACAGTGTAAGTTAGTCTTACACTGGGTTTTAAAGAACAATACTGGGTTTTATAGCTGTGGATGAAAAGCTGGAATACTGGTCAGTTATGTGAAAAAAATCACATTGTCATTGGTGGGTTGCTAGCTTAGTGGCAGTTAAAACATGGTCCTACCTGGACCATGGATAGCCAGCCTTGTCCAGGTTCTCCGGAGTCCTTTGGAGCTTTGTGAAATCCCACATCATGACGCACCTGAGCCCACAGGTAACTCCTGAGGACGTCAGGGCTGGTGAGACGAAGGTGGTTGAGCAGTTCCAACACCCCCCGGGACAATAGTCTATTAACTCTAGAGTTTATTAATGAGCAAAAAAAAAAAAAAAAAGACAGTCTCTGATCTTAGAGTCTATCAGTCACCCAGAGACAGTGAAATTTTGGGGAGGGGAGTAAGAAATAAAGCTAAGATTAACCTGCTCCAACTGTTAAACAAAATGGCAAGAACATAAATTACAGACTCTAACTTATAGACTCCCCTATGGTCAACCTGTACCCTTTCAAAATAATCATATCACTTTCCGGAAGTATATATTACATTTCAAGGTGATGCTAGAGATTAATTTGTTATACTGTAGTCTAGACCTTATTTAGCTTGAAGAATTTAAGAATGAGAATGCTCAAACCCATTTTAACTGGACTGCCTCAGAGTCTCACCCCTCAGTCCCACAGGGTGCCTTAGAAAGTGACTCCGACATTCTGCCGGTTTATTAGTGACTCCGATGCTGTGGAAACTCAGGGCTGGGCTCTTTCTCTGGACAGATTGCACTCCGTGTCGTCCATCTGCTTTTACAGCCAGGCTTGACACATTCACCGTTTTCTTCCTGTTCCCCTCCTTCCTTAGCCTCTAAGATTTACAGCTTTTAAAACTGTAACGCTCTTTTCTGCCCCTTGCATTTAAGTTAAAAGCTGACCAGTCTGTAATATAAAACATAGAATTATGGTAATGAAGAAGAGGTTAAAAGCTATCATGGCAAGTGAAACTTGAGCAGGTTTGGCTGACTGATATGGTAAAATTATGTGTTGAATTAAAACATTAAAATGCCGTGGGATTAATGGAGAGCGACAGGAACAGAAGGTCAGAAAGAATGCTACGTCAGCACATTAACTGCCCGTGGACTAAAGAGGATAGCTTAAATATACGCCTGTTGCAGAGGGGGGAAAAGTAATTTAGCCCTTGTTTTCTTCACGTGACTAGAATCGTGAACTTTTCAATCTGGGCGTTACCGAGTAAATATATTTCCATTCCTTTCTTACATAGAGGAGGAAATAGAGATGGCCAAAGATTTAGTTCATTAGCAAAAAAACACTGGCTTTATAATTTGGACATTTCAATCTTGAGTTTTGTTGTATCGCAGGCAATCCTTTGTTCGTTTTATTCAACAAATGCAGAGCACATCATAGATCAGACAGCCTGCCAAGTGCTAAGGGTAAAGGGGGAAATAACATGGGTATGGGTCCTATCCCAGGCACTAATAAGTTTTGGGCCACAGCCATTCAGCAGGCAGTGCCTCGGGGGGAGAAGGAGGTGGCTTCTTGGAAGAACAGAGGTCTGAGCTGAGCCCTGTAAGATGGGAGGCAGTTAACCCAACAAGGACATTGGAGAAGAACCTTCCCAGAAACGTGGGACAACAAAGGCCTAGAGAGGAGGGGGAACCCATTCTGAGAAACTCGAAAGGTATCGAGACGGGTGGGTGGGGCCACGACACAAGAGGAGAGAGCGGAGCAGCGTGAGGTCACAAAGCCATCAGATTCCATCTCCTGCAAATCAACCATGGCAGCTCCTCCTCTCTAGGCAAAAACTCACTGGTGACTCTGCTCTTTTGTTTCTATAATGTAAAGCTAGGTATCATAGTGGAGCTGTTATTAATGGAATATTTTAAGATCTGATTTTGGAAGGAGAATTTCCTGGTCACCTAAGGGCCAGGGTTTAGCGCCTTCTGAATGGCTGTCCAAACATCGTCACTCCCCTTGCCTACGAGGTCGCACATGATGCCAGATGCCATGGGAACAGATCTGATTTGCTAATGTGCGTTAATCACATTTCCTACATAGATGCCCTGAGCATGTGTTTTCCACATCGGTCTAGCAGATAGAAGAGCAGTTTCATAAGGTTCATTGCTTTATCATATATTTTATTTACAAACACTCAATTGGATATGTCGGCCAGGGTTTCTTAGGGTATGGCGAGTCAAAAGTTATTTTTAAAAAAATTATTCTTGGGTCAGTATCTCTGAGACCTTTACCAGTGTGTTTGTACTGTCAGCAATCTATCTCGTAAATTTTTAAAATACTTCCATTGGTGTAATTCACCACCTCTAAATTATTAGCATTTCTCTAGGTCAGCAGGCATCAGCAAACTAGGCCTCCTTGGCCATGCCCAGAGTAAAGTTTTATTGGAAAACAGCCTTGTTCATTTGTTTGCATCATCTATTACTGCTTTCATGCTACAAGGGGAGAGTTTAGCAGTTGCAACAGAGACCATATGGGCCCACAAACCAGAGCTATTACTTTCTGGCCCTACATAGGAAAAATGATCTAAGTGCCTATCATTTATTAAAGTTGGTGTGACTTTTTAATGATACTCGAAAACTTCATTATGAGAGCCTCCACACCGCATATCTGAAAACTAAGTTTCTTTTTCAAAGAAAATTTGCATCTATACTAGTAAGCTAAGTTTTCATAAATGCTCATAAAAGAGCGCCGTTTTTGTAGAGTTTGGGAAGAAATTTAGGGGATATAAAATGAAAGAGAAAAAGAATATGTAATGACATCTGTAAAATTCTGGAACTGCACAGTGAGCGAGCAGTGTTGAAAGAAATGAGAAAGAAGGAAGGATTCGTGTGTTTGGATGGGCCCAGGAGACCGGGCTGGGCCTGTCCTCCTGGGCATCCTCGGGGGCTAACGCTGCGCTCTGCCCACAACAGTTAACTAAAGATAAAAGAAATCCTTTCAAAGAACCGATTCTGTAGTGCTTCATTCAGTAGCACCTAAAAAGAATTAAGAGATCGACCAAACTATTTACTGTTTTCTCAGGGTAGAATCTGGCACACTGTAGAAAATGAAAGCAGCAGCCTTGGATTCTCCTTTCAAGATTTTTATACTAAACATGTATTTAATGAATGTATTTCAGAATGTTTATATCTTAAGGATTCTAGATTTTAGAGTACTTATCTTTACTTGAGCTTAAAACTAAAATTTGTTCACGCGATACTTACCTCTCTTTAGAAGGTTTGATGAGTATTGTAGTAAAAGTGTCTGAAATTCTGAAGAAGTCCTTTTTAAAAAAAAAAAAAATGTTCTAATGCTTTTGCTGAAAATACGGTCACCCCTCTCTAGTCTGGGATTAATCCCAGTCGATCTTCCAGCCTCTCGTGAGCCTCCAGAGCTTCTGGTTGTCCTTCAGACGTGAGGATGAGCTGGAGCAATGTGGACCGAGACCGAAACAGAGGAAAATGGTGGCCCGGAGGACAGGGTTTTGCATGAAATTCATTTCTTGTTACTCCCGTCTTTTCTCCTTTTTTTTTTTTTCTTTTCCAGAATGTGGGAATAAATGGGGAAGCCAGATGGATGGAAGAGATTGAGAGAGCAGTTCAGTTGTAGAAGGTTTATAGGAAGTCAGCTTTGGAGGGAGGCTGGTTGATAACCGTCCAGAGAAGGTAGCTTTAAATGGATTCTTAAGACCTAAGACATCAATCCACAGGATGGGGCAGGGACCCTAAGAGGCTGGGTCATAACCCACGTGCAAAGGATCAAGGTTTAATTTTGATTGACATGATGCTGACACATCAGTTTAATTTGCTCTTTCAAGTCCCCAGAGAGTAAAAGTAAGTATTTGGCTGAATTCTCTCATTAATTAACTGAGAATGTAAAATCCATTCAGTTTGTGCTGTGAAACCCTCAATCTGTTGTTTACGGGGCTCTTTTATCTAAAATAGGCAGAGCTATTTCCATGTAAGTGTTCTTTTTTCATTATCCAAGTAATGTTTAAAAACGAGGTAGGTACAGAAGTTTCCCAGTAGACAAATGACGGAAAGTTTGCGAAAATGTGTAATTTTCTGAGAAGAAACCCATTGTTTGCTTTGCATTTCATCTGGTACATTATTCATCTTTTGTTTAAAAAAATAAACTGCTCTGTTCAAGTACATCGTACCTTTAAATGGTCACTGAGGGAGTTGGTACAGTTATTGTAAATATGCTAATATTGTTCACAGTCTTTTTAGATGACTTTTTGGAATTAATGTCAAGTCCATTTTGAATTATCTAAGAAAAATTTTATTATTACCTAATTATGCACCATTACACCCCCACTCAATAGCTGCTCTTGAGCTCTTGTTCAAGTAACTTTTGGTTGTTGGGAAAAAAACAGCAAAACCACCACCACAACAAAATGGCAAACTTCAAAGGATGAAAATAAATTGCCATTATTAATGATATTAAAACGAATGTGCCATAAATAGTTTACTGCTAATTTGGACTAATGAAAGTGACCACCAGAGGAAATTTTTACAAATTCAGATCTTCTGTCTTTCCATAAGAGCTTTATTAAATGAAAGTGTATATAACAATGTAAAATAATGTTTAACAAACCGCTATATTGGTTAAGGAATTTGAGGGTACTTAGTTTTGTAGAAATGTCATAGTTAAAGCGAAATTTTTTTCCAAGCAAAATTAATTCCCCACTTACATACTTGCTTATGGAATAAAAATATTTAGTAAACCCTCTCTTCATAATAGTAAGCTTTAACTTTGAAAGGTCCCTTATTGCTACAGAAAAACAATTTGTTTTGATTCAAATCATAGGGGTTTCTTTTCTTTTTTCTTTTTCTTTCTCTTTGTACTGTGTCTTCAGTAGAAATACGTAATGAATTTATCTCATGCAAAAGTTCTCATAACTGGAGTCACTGTGTTAATTAGAAAATAAACACCAACATATATTTAACTTTATAGGTATCTGTCAATATGAAAATGCTTTTATTCTCTAGCAAAAACTGGTATAGACTTTTAATATTACTGATCTTTTCCTTTTTAATTGGCAAAGTGATCGCAAGCTTTCTTTCAAATTTATTAAATTGGAACTTTTCACATGTTCTCATGACTTGAAATCATCATTGTTTGATAGTGTATTAGTTTACTCCTTCTAATTACATGCAAGCATACAAAGTCCACTGGTAATTTAGGGTAAGAATCCATCCTTGTCACACATTATGAGAGACAGTGCTTTTTATAAAGTCTTGAATATTAATCTTATTTAATAAATATGGAGGGCAAGTGAGAATCACACACACACACACACACACACACACACACACACACCAGTTTCACCCTCCTGCGGTCCAGGCAAACCCAGAGTTTTCAGTGCTAACGCAAGTAAGTGGCTTAGCACTTCAGCCCCCCTCTTTGGTGTTTGCTTCTGTATTTAAACGTATCTGAGGTTTTCAACATCCCAGAACATTGGCTGTTAAGGGGTGGAAAACATGCAATTTATAGCAGATGGGGCGGCCTTTCCTGGCAGTGCTGCTGAAATGGGATCAATCAGCAGCACTTCATGCTCCATTTGTCCAAAAACGAAAGCCACCCGGGGAAACCCCGCGGAACCGTGCCTATTAGGAAAACACCTTAACACGTTTCTTTAAATAAAAATTCGCCAGTTGGCATGAATCTGGAAGAAAATGGTTTTTTCATTAACCCTCTCCCACTTACATGTCTCTTGTCTTTTCTAACTTTTTTTTTTTGAACCCTTTATTCTCTTTGTTGGCAAAAGACAAAGCACAGAGAAGTCATTTAGAGCCATCATGCTTAAACTTTGAAACTTTTTTTCCCTCTCGTTCCCGATCTCGTTGTTTTTCTGCAGACCTCATTTGGCAAAGATCCAACTCTTCTCTTTCCATTTGCCATTCTGTCCATGCTGCCTTCTCTTTAATTTTTCTTTTTTTCTTTACTTCTTCCTCTCCTTAATTTTAGAGTGTGCTAGGCTGGGAGTGAGTACGGCAAGACAGGGAGCCCCTGCAACCTTCACTGCTCAATAAACCCGTGCCCAGACCGAGCAAAGTTTCAGAGACGATGAAATACAGAGGTGCTTTGGAGCTTCCAAAGCGGTCACGTGTTAACCGCTCTCTCTGCTTCCTGCAACTTCTCCAGGTGTAAAGTGGACATCGCGGCCCTCCCACTCAAGCAGGCCAACTGCTTGGAGCTGCCACTGGACAGCTGCCTAGGAGTTCTCTTGATGTTGGTCACACTTACTCCCTGCGCGGGAGTCTCCGTCTCGGACCTGTGTGTGTGCCCCTTGGCAGACCCCAGCGAAAGAAAGCAGATTGCCCAGCGATATGTGAGTGCTTTGCCTTGTTACGCTCCCGCCCCCCACCCCTATCCCCCACCACTTCTGAGTTGTTCCAAGGTCTATGAAATGAAAAACTGCATAAAAAGAGATCTTTGTCCAAAGTTCAATGGCATGTCTCATAAAACGGAACATCAGACCGAGAAGTTACTGCATTAGTGAGAAGGTGAAAGTAGATTAGAGTCTGCCTTCTTGCCGTTTGAAAAGCCAACAAAAGTATTTTGAACGTTTAGTTTTTAGGATCTCTTTGGAGAAAATGGAATTCCTCGAGGAGGCAAACTGTTGTTTAGCATGTCCGCGTAGGTAAATAGGAATCTTAACAGAAGCTCACAAAAGTAGCCTTATTTTAAACTACCATGAATGTTTGCTGTATTATAGATACTTTTCTAGAACCTCAGAGTCAAGTGAGAGAGTGCTCATGCCTTTTAAAGTGAAGCGAAGCCCTAGGCAAGCACGACAGACTGTTGTTCTATACCACGCTGGGTGTTATTGGCAGTGAGACTTTTGCCTAAGTAGTTGCCATGTGCTTAAAAGCCAACTCAGCATTTTTAAATCAAGCGGCTTTGTCCTCTTCGTTTATTGTTTGTACTCTGTATTTCTAGGTGTCTTTCTTTGCATTCCGTTTTAATCCCATCTTCTTTGTAAATCAATACATTTATTTTGTTGCCACGCACAAAATACGCGCTTTAGGACAGTGACGTGGAAGCGAAGCAGAGACGAATCCCTATTTAATGGGAACGTTATTCTTGGCGCACACTTTAGAGCCTCCAAAGCCCTTCGCGGGACAGGCGTATTGATTAATTGAAAAACTCTTTATCTTCGGGAGTATGAAACCTAGCCACACGTCTTACTGTCAGAACAGATTCTGCTTGGGAGTTTGGCATCCTCCAAGGACGTTTCGACAGAATCCACTGTTAATATTTTTTCTGATGACTTTAGTTAAGCAAATGAAAATTCGATGGTAAAAAATAAAACGTTTCCCCACATTTTCACATGGATAAATTGCAAAATTTACCAAATTCCTGAGGAGTGTCATGGATTTATGGTATGACACTGAATAAGATTGTAATGAGTGCTTTGAATAATGCCTTTGGGATTTGCAAAGTGCTAATTGAAAAGAGGTTGAAAGAGGCTAATCAAAATAAAAATATCTCGTGTTTTTTAGGTAGTGAGCTGGCCAGAGGGAAAGAATGCTGGATTTGTTTCTTAGGTCATAAGAGTAGACAGTCCTTAAAGGCATTTCCACTTCTAAGCTGTAAAAGTATTTTATTTAAAATGTTTTCATCTTAGCTTAAACACTAGTTTGTTGTTGTTGTTGTTTTGGGTTTTTTTTGTTTTGTTTTTTGTTTTTTTTTTTAGGTTGAAAATACAGAGCAGAAACAACTTTTAAAACTCTTAGAAATGGTGCATATTAGGTTAGGCAAACCTTAACTTATTTAGCTTTTGTTATTCTACTCTGAAGTGCTTCAATAACAAGGATTTTTCTATCCTTCCATAAATCCCCGGGGTCTGCTTATCGCAGGTTTTAGTTATCTAATGATGGTGGAAATATTTTATCCAAAGGTTTGAAAGCAGCATCTTTTTTTCCACGGATGTGTTCTGGAGGCGTGCAAACAGAATGTCTCTCCTTATCCCTTTCATGCACAATTTCTGAAGGATGCGATGTTCATAGACCTCTGACTATTGCTGTACGTGCCTAAGAATTATCAGTACGTACAAGCTTTGGGTCGTGTAAACCAGAAGTTAACGTCAGTACAGGGCCATACTTAATGCTCAGTTTCTAATTTATTGAGCTAGTTGAAACATGGACCACCAAATTCACTCTATTTCCATCCCTCGCTCTTTTCAGTGGTAATAAGTATCTATGCAGGATCCAGGTTCAGTCCTCTTGTATGCATAGTTTGTACTAACTAGGCCAGAATAATGGTGCCTTTTGGGGTGATTTTAAAGTTTCATTAGAGAGAAGGAAGGGGGGAAGAGAGAATGAATGCAGTTCCACACACATTTTCCCGGTGGGATGCCTGTGCTTTCACCAGGGGGCGATGTTAAAAGTAGATTGTTATGTGTTTGTAATCTGTTCATTTTGAAGCTGTAGTTAATTAATTCGCAGTCACTTTGAATCTGATTGCCGCCGATGCCTAACTGTCCTGTTGACCGATGAGATACATTTTGGAACCTTCCTGAGCATTGCATGAGAAAGGTGGCGATAAATCTAGAATGCACTTTCTGTGGGACTGTGTTGTCATCACAGTGTGTGAGAAAGCCATTTTCACGTGCGATCTACTTTTCTGCCCCTCAGGGCTTCCGGAACTCCCTGAGTGATATGAAGGACATCGGCATTTTACAAGTGAAGGTGTTAAAGGCGGTGGATCTCCTGGCAGCAGACTTCTCAGGTATAAAACGTTTTCATTTTTCATTCATTTTTTTATGTATTTCCTACTTCGAAATGATCTTATAGAAGAGCATATGTTTTAGTAAGGAGAAGCATGTACACAGCAATCATGTTCTTTTCAATAGAGTATAGAAGATGCAGGCAAACAATTTTTCACTGAATGCAGGTGAAAAAATAATTTCACATAATTATTTTTCGTCAAATGATTTTACTGTGATTCAATAGTGTTCTAGCCCATTTGGCTTTCAGAGATATTTCTGGGTTCTTAGTGTCATGACTTCTTTAATGTTTTGATAAGTCTTTTTTCTATTGTACCTCAAAAGACAGATTCGACATCTTGCCTTGGCTCCCTTGCGGTGTTCTATGCTCACAGTTTCCTTCTTCACAGTAGTAAGAGTACGTGGTTTTGAATTTGAAAGCGGATCTAGCTGTTTCTTCTCTGTAACAGTAACCCAAGTCTTGGCCATGGGACCACTTTGCAGTCAACGTTGTTTTATACAGAGTTTCTCTTGCGTTTCACTAACTTGAAATTTTAGACATCCGCTAGAGTGGACATGCTTTGTGCTCAATTATGCTTGATGGTGGGGAGAGTAATCCAGAAGTTCCAGTTCTGACTGGAGGGTGACTCTCCACTGGCTGCCATGGTGATGCATTTTTTTTTAAATCTCCTATTTTTAGGATGTGGTCTTATCCTTTCCTTCCAACAGAAACAATTATACTGAATTGAACCTCTGAACTTCTGAGCCAAAGTTTGAGGAAGCTCAAACTTTGGACAAGAGAATTTTAATTTTAAGCACTTTATATTACAAAATTGATGGAAAATCTAAACTTAGTTTAAAAAAAGTTCTCACGCACCCCCCGCCCCCTCCCCCCAAAAAAAGAACCAGTGGAAATCACTAATGTATAAACTCCTGATAGGCCATCTCACTCTTAAGGGAGTGCCCAGTGGGAAGATCTAAAAATGCTTTTTGGCGAATACAAATATAAAACATCTCAGGGGTGTAGGTGAAATACTCAAATGATTACCTCTAATAATCATTAATTTAGTTTCAAATATTTATGATCTTGTATTGATTTAAAATTTTTCCTTTGTTTCAAAACTTAGTTTATGAACACACTTAATTCAAACATTTCACAAGTGCCTTTATTATATTAGTAGTTTTGCTAGCACTAAAGCACATTTAGAGTCATCTTCCAGTTTTCCAGAGCAAATTATTTTTACTTCTATCTAAATGTTTAGATACGGCACTTTTTAAACCTACGATTGTTCATATCTCAGGAAATATTGTCTCAAGTCTCAGAAATCATTTCTGTCTTCAAGCAGCATTTTCAAAAATTCTTTCTGCGGTTGTGTATTTCATGATCTTTGTGAAGACCCGAATATAAGGAAAAACCCTCTTTTCAGCAGAATCATCTTGGGGAAAATGCCGGCATCATCTCGCTGTTTTCTTTAGATTCAGGATGTTCAGCAGATAGATTTAGAGTGGATGGGGAAGAGTACCAAAGGATGCCAGACGATGCTGTGGGCTTTGACGAAATGCCCAGTGTTTTACTATCTCTGTATTATTTATGAGAAAATCCACAATACCAAATCATTGTAATAACTGATGTTCATTTTCACTAAGAGTCAGGACAGTTGATAGAGCAGAAGTCCAAGGGGGCAGATCCTGGCTATGGTCCATATGCCGTTTAAGCTTATAGTCCTAGAGAAGAAATGAATGCCCTTGATAAGCTCTGCTGTCAGCGGTATGCCAGTTTTAAAGTTTTCTATATCTTTGCAAGTAACAGGTAGAAAAAAATTGATCACTCATACCACTGTGATCAAAGTGGAAGGGTATGCTTCATTAGTGATTATTGATGTTATGATTATATAGTCAGAAACAGAAATTAAACTGGAGAAATTGAATCCTCATTATGTTGCTGGTATTTTAGAACATTAGAGTAATATATGTATATATTACATACATAACACATATACAATATGTACACACATGTGCTAAGGTGACTTTACTTCCCATTAAAAATTTAAAAATATTTTTATATAAAGAAAAAAAATTAGTATAGCTTTTCAAATGTCGTAAAAGATACTAATAACCAAAACCTATGTTTATTACTAATATTGAGATATTTGCAATAACGAAAGGCTTCAATGCTCTATAAAAAAGATATATTTATTGCTTTTTCAAATTAATTCTTTTATAAACATGCTATTTTATTGTGTGATAGAATCTATTCAGTATTAATACATTTAAATTTATATGTAGCTTGGCATTTTTTATATGCCTGACATTTGTTTGTATATAAGTAAGAAGACTTTTTATTTGATATTTGCAATAACGAAAGGCTTCAATGCTCTATAAAAAAGATATATTTATTGCTTTTTCAAATTAATTCTTTTATAAACATGCTTTTTTATTGTGTGATAGAATCTATTCAGTATTAATACATTTAAATTTATATGTAGCTTGGCATTTTTTATATGCCTGACATTTGTTTGTATATAAGTAAGAAGACTTTTTATTTTAAAGAATCTCAAGTAATCTATCTTCTTTTGCAGTCCATCCCTCTAAAATTGGTAAAAGATATTTTAATGTTCTCCATAGCCAGTATTATATATGGATAGCCATACATGGTTATTCTAATAGAAGAGCCTGTCAGATATTTCTATTAGAGTTCATCTCACAAACACCTTGTGTCCAATGTAACCTAAAATTTTTAAGCAATAGGTCATCCAGTCCGATGTCATTATTCCTGAAGTAAACCAGGCCATAGCCTTGATTCACGAAAGAGATGATAAATTGTGCTTTGAGACTCAAGGTGAGCATAGCTGTAATGTTTAATGAGAGCAACGTACTTCTCTCAGTCGCTGCTAGTCTTAAATCTCAGCTTTTTTGAAAAAAAAGTGACCACGTTCTAACGATTAAGAGAGAGAGGAATGTTTTGTCCAGGACGAAGCTGAGGAACGATGAGCACATCAGGCTCCCCTGTCCACAGCGGAGGCCCTCGGAGGGAACGGTACTGCCTCTTCTACTTGGCCAGGAATCCTCAGACTCTTGAATTAATATCACTGGGAAAAATGCAAAGCTAATTTCATAGACTATAAAAAGATAATGAAGTAGACAGTAGGTAAATAGAAAAATGGTTTGAATACTGAAATGTTTTCCGATCAGAACTGTATCTCAGTACAAACGATGACGTTTATCTTACCTATTGAGAGGTCAGCCCGTGAAGGAGGAAGCTGTTCGCTATGGTCAGCACGCACATGGGAAAGTGCTCTGCTCTGGATGGCCTTATCGTAACTGACAGGCTGCTGTGAAGAAGCTGCTGGAATCGTGACATGTAGGGGTTACTTCAGCATATCAGTGTTGAAACCATGCTGGTCACCAAGTGCACAGTGCGCCTGCCGGAACGCAGTGCCTGGTCGGTGACCCTTCTCTCGTGTTCCGGGAATCAGAGTGCAGGATGACAGGAATGTAACAGCACAGCATGTGGGATGGGTTGCAATATCCCTTCTTTAAGCGGCGCAGTCCTCCCTTAATATTCAGGTTCCTATCGTTACGATAATCCGTATGCCGTGACGAGAAGCTGAAGAATGATCTTTCAGGAGGCAATGAAGGAACAAAACTGGAAATGCCATCCTTACTCATAATTTGGAGTTACTTGTTTCCATGGACATTTCTTTCATTCTTGTGACTTTTCGGCACTTTTTGCCATATAAAAATCCACCCGTCCAAGTGCCAGAAATTTTCAGACATTGCTGGATTTTCTTGGCTTATTGGTGGTCAGGTTGCCGCTTGGAGCTTTTCTCTTTTTTCCAATGTTAATAAGATGACTACCAAATTAACATCATGTGACAATATCAGAGGAATGGAGAAGACACTGCAAGGAAGGGGAGATGCAGGTTTTGAAGGAGTAGCCTTATTTGATAAACGAGCACGATAGGGGCCACAGCAGTGCCCGATCCAGGAGTCCAAAGTTTCAGAGTGCGCCCCGGTCCAGTGTCCCAACTGCGTTCTAAGTTCGTCTCAACTTGAGGGAAGTTAGGTGGGTGGTACGTATCATCGAAGCAGACTAGGACCTTGCTCAGAATCTGGGTGGCGTTTCCATTGTGCGGGCTCCTCGGCAGCACCGTCAGGGGGAGCTCTTGGTCTGTTCCCACACAGGGTTGGTCTCTCCTGACTGGCAGACTTCTCCACCCTCGCGTTAGTGCAGGAGCCCTTTCCGTGTGCTGTGACTCATGCCTTAAGTGAATCAATGTTCAGTTCAATGAAGATTAGTCCCCCTTTTCTTTGCCTTTCATTTGTACGGCGCTGCCTCTCACTTTCGTCTCTGGGTTGTGGTAGAGATGTATAGAAACAGAGACCCGCTGTACAGATCTTGGTTCTGCCACCACTACCCGGCCTGGCGTTTGTGCCAAGCCTCTTCTGCCTCATGGGTATTTTGAAGGTTAACACCGAAATGAACATGCCTGACACATAGTTACGTGCTCAATAAATGCTATTCCCAGTCTTCATTCAATTTATTTTCTTAGAGTATAGTTGATTACGAGGAATTTCACAGATTATCGTCTTGTTGATATTTTGCTCATAATTTCCCTAACTTTTGAAATATAAGCATTGCTAATCACTTATAGCTATTCAGCTGCTTCTAGTTCTCAGTATGGAGATCTGTCGTCGACAGGCCGTCGGCTTCAATAGTCTGCCAAGGATCATGGACTCTCATCAGTGTAAAGTTTGGAAGTATGTAGAAGACATAGCGGTCCCTAACTTACTGTTACCATGATAGCGAATGAATGCAGTTTATGTCTGCTGTTCCCTGGATCAGCAAGGGAATCACTACGATCTTAGTGTTTGGGTTCTTAGTAGTATCTTTATTTATTCAGCAAATACACTTCCTTTGTTTGAGAGTCTGGGGTAGGCCCTGGTGACATGGGGAGGAATAGGACTTGGTCCTTGCCTTCGCATGAACCATAGTGTCTAATGCGAATTATACTGCTGAGGTCAGGAGCATGGCCTTCGAGGCTTCAAGCCAATTTCTGAGTTTATCTACTTATATTACATTTCTTGATTTCTGCTATTTAGTGTATATATATATTTGTGTGTGTGTGTGTGTCTGTCTATCTGTCTCTCTCTCTCTATCTCTCTTGTTAATAAATTGAAAGCTGTGGTCTGTCCCTTTCTCATTAAGAAGGACCTACACATTTCAGCTAGTTAAATCAGTCCCCTCCTAAACCATGCTTAAGATTCACCTCCACTATGAATTCTTCCTGGACCTTAACCAACCAACTTAAATTTCTCTGAGCTTTAATTTCCTCATCTGCAACGCGGCACAAACTTTCCTTACCTCACAGAGGATTAAATGAGATCGTGCATGAAGCATGGTTTCTCGCACAGAGTGGGAGGAGCCAGCACCTATCACCGGGAGCTCGAGTGTCCCAGCTGCCCCCTCGCACTGGGCCATAGCACTCTTCGGAAGGGATGGCAGGGGCGCGCATATGTTGGGTTTGTCCGCATCAGGCCCCTTAAATGATTTACAGGGCTAAATCTGGAGCAAAAATGTACAGATGCGGAGTAGAAGAGATATAAGGAAAGTATACAGTCAGAGATCAGAGATGGGGGCAACTCAGCCCGTTGCTAGGGAGCGCGAGGGAAGTTTTCTTAGGAAAGGTGACATTTGCTGAAAAGCAGAGGTTATCGTGAGCGTTCCTTGAAGGTAATGATGTGGTGGCCTGTGTACATCAGGGCCTGGTTCAGTGCCAGGAGCAGAGTGGGTGTTTAATAAACATTTGTCAGATGAAGAATGTGACCTCTAAAATACATTTATCACTTGTCACTCAACTTCTGTAACTGATATAAAGGTAAAATTATTTAAATGAGAAACCTCTACTTGCCGTTCAAGGAATATAAATGAATTTTAAAGTGGTGTTGAAAATAGCAAAAGCTATTGAGCAGAAGGTGCTAAAACACCGTGAAACTGAATTGCCGGTGGTGTGACCGTGTCAAGGTGACATGGCACCTGGATGTAGAAGAAGTCATCTAGATGTTTTACCTGTAAAATTAGGCGGAACAAAGAGGAAAAGTACAGACCCAAGCGTACCTATGTCAGTTTGCTTGGTGGTGTTCGCTTGGTGCCATTGGGGATCATTTGAACATTTCTCTTATTAATGGGAACATTATTTTTATCCCAAATAAAAATACTTGCTATTTAAATTTTATCGAAAGTCCCCATATATCTGGAACGTTTTAAGGGAAATAAATCAACCCATAAAGGGTCCATAAATTACTCTATAAACATTTGGATGTCTTTGTTTCTTCTTCCTCCTCTATTCCTGTTTATATCGTAATATTAATAAATGCAGCATTTTAATGAGCTTTGACGGAATGATCTTCAGAGAGTTGGTGCGGTGCATGCCTTGGAGACACGGAACAGAAGTTCCCCGTTACTGGGAGGAAGTCTGTTCCTCATTAGCTGGGACAGCTAAGAGTGTGCCGGCTCCGGAGAGCGGGGGCCACAGCTCGGGCCACCTGTGTCTGCGCGGGACTGGCTGCCGGTCTCTGCCCCGTGTGGAGTTGCCCCAGGGCTTTCATTAAAAGTGTCAGATGGTGTCCCCAGAGCCAGCGCTGATGGAATGTCATGCTGTTGTCTCTGGAGGAGCAGCACTGACACCTACTAACAGTCTGACAAACGGTTAAGTAGCTGCTTCGGCTTGGGTTAAGGAAGCCAGCATCCGCTACCCGAGCACTAAGCCGAAAGCTCCTGTTCCCTCACGCCCGTGGCTTTTCGTCTGTGTTGGCAGGTACCTCCCCACCCAGCCCCTGCCCCGTGCCCCACCAAACCCGTCCCCGGAGTAAAGCGGTCTTTAAATAACCAGGACTTTACAGGCGCTGATGCATTTTTGTGTCTTGATTTTGATTGAAATCCCTTCTAGTTTGGGGGCATTTCCCACTGTATGTTTTGGAGAAGGGGTTAGAGCCCAGTTTCAGTGATGGAGACAAAGAAGCCAGGACTCGCTTGCTGAGCCCTAGCAATGAGGGCCTGGGTGCTTGGCTGCACAGGAGCCATCAGATGGTTCCTCTGAGGCCCTGACACCTGCATCAAGTGAGGCCAAGAAGCGGAAGTGGAGACTTCGTGTTGGAGACGGCCGTTCTCAGGGTCCAGGGACAAGCGGGCCCGTGGGGCCGGCTTTCCTGGGAAGCGGAGGCCACATCGGAGCTTCCCTTGGTGTGGGACCCCGACTGAGGTTCCTGTGCCTGCGCATTCCTAAGCAAGTTTTTGGTTTCTAGTGATTTCTTAAGCCCAATTTTGCAATGACTCTGAGAACCGATTTTGCAACGTTTGCAATGACTCTGAGAACCACTTGTTATTAGTTTAATAAATTATTTTTCTGCTACATTTAGACAGGGATCACCTCTTTCGTTTGTTACTGGCGAGCCTAACGCATTCGTTTATGTCCATGGCTTGATCATTGTCTATTGGCCACTGAAATGATTGCAGTGACTTGAAAGCTTTGGCCAGGCATCTAAGTGTCCAGGCCACTAGTCACTGGTCCTGAATTTCCTGTTTAATACTGACCCTTACCCATGCATCTGCAGTTCTTATTTATTTATTTATTTATTTATTTATTTATTTATTTATTTAAATATGATCTTCATGCAGGCGCCTGCACGTGTCAGTCTCTCTCTCTCGCTGTGCATGTCTCAGAGCTCCTGGTTATTAAGTGAATTAGATGTAAGGTTGGTGACCTGAGTGGGAGGCCAGTAGGTCAAGAGGTCTGAGCACTCTCTGCATCAGGCCCTGGCCGGGGTCTCCTTGGCCGTTTGCTGGAGGAGCATCTGTCCTTATGCCCCCAATTAATTCAGTACACACTGCTTTGCAAATTGCCAACGTGTTGCAAAGACAGGCAGTGCGTTCACGTCATAGGGACATTACAGAGCCATTCATTCTTTCCCCGACAGTTCCAATTCTAGATCCTTCTGCCAAACCCAACACAAAGGGAGAGAATTTTTACACGGTAACTTTCTCGGTCCAGCTTTGGGTTTGAGATTTTCTAATATTTTCTAATATGTGTGTGTGTGTGTGTGTGTGTGTGTGTGTGTGTGTGTGTGTGTGTGTGTATTCGAATATATATATATTTTCGAAT